AAACACACTCACAAGCACTCCCACAGGTTCCCACAGGTTCCCACATGTAAACAAACAACAACTCTAAGCAATATTTGGAGCAAAGCTTGCGTGCTTTCGATCACTGGAGGGGGTTATGTCTGCTGCCCTGTTTTTTTCAACCGGGTGACCCCCATGCCAGGAACAGGCTCCAGTTATTTGTGTGCTTGTACAGTATTTTCTTGGTGCAACAAAAAAAAAAGAGGGACGGGGGGAACGCTTATTTCCAAAATACTATGCCAGATAGTCCTCGACTTACGACCACCATCGAGCCCGATGTTTCTGCTGTGAAAAGTGAGACGTTTGTTAAGTGAATTTCAACCCATTTTACCACTTTTCTTGTCACAATTGTTGAGGGAATCGCTGCAGTTGATCAGTAAGTAACCGGGTTGTTAAGTGAATCCATAGACTTTGCTCGTCAGAAGATGGGAGAAGGGGATCACATGACCGCCCGAGACACAGCAAATGTAACATTTTCAATATTTAACAAACAGCATATTTTCTGGGTACATGTATTTAACTAACAACAATAGATATAGTTAATTATCATAAACAGTATTAATTAACCACTCAGTAGCCTTCTTCTTACTGATATATATTCAAAATTACATGTCGCATTCCTTTCTCTCTGACTCGTCTTTCTAGCCATTGGTAAAAGTTATCCCATGTTCTAAAGTACACTGAGTCTTCTTTCTCTTTAATCTCTAAAGTCAATCTATCCATTTCTGCCCCCTCTAGAATTTTCTTAATTAGTACTTCTTCAGTTGGTAAGTGTTCATTTTTCCAATATTGGGCAAATACCTGAAGTCACTTCTAAGGTGACTTTGAATTTTGAAATCTCCAAAAAGGAAAAATTGGACTGGGCTTAATAGTTCTCCCAGCGTGGCTTACTACTCTGTTTTATCTTCTTCCCACAAAGGTTCATATGTGAAAATTAGTGATGTCTAGGGGCAGGGGGTCTTCAAACTTGGCAACTTTTAAGACTTGTGGACTTCGACTCCCAGAATCCCTCAGCCAGTTCTTGAGAGTTGAAGTCCACCAGTCTTTAAAAGTTGCCAAGTTTGAAGACCCCCTGGTCTTGGGGGTGGGTGGGGGGGAAATGGCTGGGGCAGGGGAAATGGGAGAAAGCAAAAGGAAGGACTCATATCATTACCTGAAAAACCTTAAGACACAACCATCAGCACAGGCCCCTTGTTGTCATTCACGCAGAACAAGGCGAGAACAGCCCAGATAAGTTTGTTTAGACCAGGAGGAAGGAAGCTTATCAAGATCCAAATTTGGCTCTTGGTTCTATTTCCATGCGTCCTTTCGGTTTATGAAACAGCAGCTTTCACTCAGGTTGAAAGGCAAACTTAAGTGGTTGGGTTTGGTTTTTTTTTAAGCACAACTGCTAAGTACTAATAGATATACCATTTTACCTCCTTTATGTCCCTTGCTTGCCCTGAAGGTAGCACTTTGACAAGTCACAACAAAAGCTATGCAAAAGAGGGAGATTAGAAATCAGGGCTGGTTCAAAGCAGGAATCTCTTCTGAAACTTTGGCTTCAGGGCAGACTTTTTCCAAACACTTTGAATTTGGGAAGGTTTCCCTGGCCATTTCACTTGCCCTAGGCCAGGGGTAGGCAACCCAAAACAAAGAGCCACTTGGACTGTTTCCCACCAAAAACAAAACACTGGGAGCCGCAAAACCCTTTTGATATATAAAATGAAGATAACACTGCATATATCCTTTTTTACCTTTATTATAGGTGTGTGTGTGTGTGTGTAAAATAAAGGTAAAAAAGGATATATTTTATTTATTTATTCAATTTATATCCCGCCCTTCTCCTTACCGGACTCAGGGCGGCTGACAGCCTTATAAAACAGATACTACAATAAATACCTAATTTAAAACCAAATTAAAAAGAAATATTTACTATGGCCTATATAATTAAAATTTCTCTTAAAAACCCCACTAAAAATTCCCTAGGCCAATCCCGCTTGTTGGAAG